ATATAAGACAGGAGGTAAAATAAAGGTTATTGATATCATGCTGCTAGTAATTGATAGATATTTTGTTAGATTAACAGAAGGTTTTATAGACTTGTCCAATAATTATTTTATTGTTATAAAAGGTAAAAACTCATGGTTTAGAAGATTTATTTATCAGGTTGGTTTGATATACAAATAGATTAAATCCAGTATATTGAAAGGGGGTATAATATATAGAAAAAAGTATGAAATAAGATTTTATTTTTAAGATAAAAAAACCAAGCTAGTTTTTTTCTCTTGAAAATATAAAGTAGTCTTAAAGATAAATATAACCAGTTGAGATGATATTTGTTATCAACAAAGTATAGTTGTTTAAGAAGCAAAATATTTTTATATTTAAGTTGTTGTTTGAAGATATAATAGTTGGGATATTAAAAAAAAATATGTTCAAAAAATAAGTTACTAGCAGTGATATCAATAACCTTTATTTTACCTCCTGTCTTATATAAATCTTGTACAGGCTATAATCTCAATTCTAACTATATTACTAACTACGTATAGTATACTAGAGATTTCATCTATTCTCTCTACTCAATTCTTTGAAAGAAAATCTAATAACTAATTAAAACTTAATGTCAATTATATTGATCTTATTCAGTCTACTTTCTTTAAGAATCTATCTAATATTTCACCTTCTCCTTCTATTAATATTACTATCTCTCTTTTATTTGTACTTTTTCTCAATAGTAACGCTTCTAATAATCTTTTTCAAATTATTTTAGCTAATAACATGCATTAATATTTTACTTTCTATACAGATAGTTCAGTAAAAAATCTTGATACTAAGCAATGCACTATAAGTATTGGTTGAACCCAAATTTATAATTACTTTGTTATTTATAACTTCTTTGCCCAGATCACTAACTGGCTCTCATCTAACAAAGCTAAGCTTTTTTTTATTCTTTCTGCTATCTTTACACTTCTTCATAACTTTTTAGCTGATATATTTACTAATTTCTAATCTGTAATCTTCAAGTACAACAAACTTCTTCAAAATCTTTATTTTGCAACTAAATATTTTAAATTAATTCATAATCTATTTAGAATACACTTTTTAATTAACTTAAATCTTACAATATTAGCCTAACTTTTTATAAAGTTCAAGTTCACACTAATAATACTTTTAACAACTTAGCAAACTTTCTTGCCAATAACTATACTTCTTTTTTAATCTTATCATTTAACTATTATAATATATATAACCCATATTCTTCTTTTTAATAGAAAAATTATTTTATTAATTGTTCTACTAGATACTTTATCAAAAATATTTGCAAAGCCAAACTATTGTAATATAGTTATCTCAATAATAGAACCAAGAATAGCACACTTCTCTTACTATATTAACTAGAATTTTAGTTGGCTATACTTCAATAACAACCAAAAAAGTTCTTGAAATCACCAACCCCAAACTCAACTATTTCAAATTCTTTAAAATTAAAATACTACTTAATAACCTATCTGCATATTTCTATTTTTATTCTTTTTAGCTAACATCTTTTTATCTTCTAACTACTTCAAATATAATTTTTTTCAACTCTTTATCTTATTAGTATACTTGCTTTAGTCATAACCTCCTTACTGAGCTATTAACTCCTATATTAATAATACTATTTACAACTTAACCTTAGTCTTCTCTTTCACAAACTTAACTATTTAAAACACACTATTTCCTGTTATCTATCCTTTTCTTTTTATTCTTCTCACTTTACCCTTACTCTCTTTACTCTACTTTTAAAGACCTTATCTTGATTCCACTTATTCAATCTATTCAAATATTTGATATATTCTACTCTCTTGCCTTCTAGCTTATTATCAAAATTTCTCTTAAGTTCTCTAACCAGCTCTATAACCAAATATAAAAAACATACTGTATTAACTTATCTACATAGAAAAAAGCACATCACATCTCTTTCAACTCCTCTTACAAACAAGCTCTTCAACTATCTTCTCTTTATTCTCATACTCACTTACAACTGCTTATGAAATACACCAAACTAGTTACATTCTGCTCTAAATACCTGCCCTTTTGCTGGGCTAGCTAATTGCAAATTCAATATTTGGTCCATGATGTGAATTTAATTTAGCACCCCTATCAACTATATTTTAACTATTCAAATCTAGATAAGCTTTGACCACTCTAGTAGATTTAGGCCACAGATAATTAGTTTGTTTAAGCTTTTAATCTGAGCTTCTATTCTTGTATATAATTTATATTTATTTGTTAATATATAAATTAAGTTTTTATTTAATGCAACTACTTATATAAATTACTCAATAAAGATATAAGCAAGGCCTCATTTTAAAAAAAAAAAAAAGTTAATAAAGTATGTTTAAGATAGGGATGTTATTGGCTTTACTTGAAGCCAGCTTTGGCCATATTTTGAAGCCAAGCTAAAGTTAAGCCAAGCTAATAGTTTAAGCTATAACTTGAGCTATAGTTTAAAATTTGTTTAAAGTTATAAAAAAATAACTATTGATTCTGGCTTTAATTATAGCTAATAGCTTAAACCATGGCTTAGTTATAGCTTGGCTATGGCTTTTTTGAGCTAAGCTAAGCTATCCAAGCCAACAATATCTCTAGTTTAAGGAACAACTTTGGCATGTAATCTTTTGACCTTGAAGGTTACTCAGGATCCTTGTCACATATAGAATTATGAAAATGACATGATAGAGTTGCATGCAAAATATAAAAGAGCTTATAGAACATCCTAATTAGGGCATTGTTACTTATAATACTTAAATTTTTCACAGACTGGCTATCAGAATCAGATTTCATTTACCAATTATGATATTGGAAATATCTTGTTGATCTCATGCAGTCAAACTACGTATAACATATTACTATCATTTTAGTGTTATCAAAGTGACATAAGATGCAAATATTTCAATATAGCACATAGCCTTTATTAGATTTATCCTGTTCAAAGAATTAAATTTTTTTTTTAAAAAAAAAGAAAGCAAACGTCATTAACAGGTACTCGATTTGTTACACAGATCATGGGGGTAAATTTTTTACTATGAAATTTAAGTGATCGATATTCATATTACAAGTCCATTTTTAATAGTAAATTGCAACAGTTGCCTACTTTTAATTACTGATTTTAGGGTTTCTTAAAAGGAAACCCTATTTAAGGGATGTAGTACACTTGTTTAGAAAGAAAAATTTTATATTGTTGGCAAGTTTAAAGTAAGATAAGAAACAAACCCAAATAGAATTTGGCCTTTAAAGATCTCTTGTTGTTTTATATTTTTATTAATATAAAATAATAAGGTGTATAATTTGTGATCTTGTCTAGCTATTCTTCTATTAGTACCAACTTATATGGTCAATTCTATAATGAGCTGAGGTTCTTAATAAAAAGGTTAGTGTATAAACTAATTTTTTTATTGAACCTTCTTATAACAAACTAATAAAACTTTAAAACTTATATTTGCAGGTTGTAAAAATTGATCATATTAAATAAATTAGTGGGTTATAATTATGAGGTGGATTGCTAAATTATTTATTCAGAAATGATTTATTGTAATATAGTTTAAAAATAGTTGTGAAATATGTGTGGGGTTAATTTATATTTTGTTTATTATTAAAGTTTTTAATAAAATAAATAAATCAAATAAAAATTACAAAATTTTAATTGAGTGATTGAAAAAATGGATTGTATAACTATTTCGTTATATACGTTCATCCAAAATTAGTTTTGGGTAATACTAATCAAAGCCAAAATTCACGGCCTTAATTTTTTTTCATGTAAAAGTTACATAACTATCACATATTAATATCATAGCCCAAATAATTTATTTAAATATAAAAAAAACAATATAAAGCCAGTCTTCAATCTCTTAATTAATCTTAATACAAATATAACTACCACTATAATAATCAAATAGTAATATCCTTTATTAACAAAAAAATTAACAAAAACTAAAAATTATGGAAAACTCTTTAAAAACTTCAATTGACTTCGAAAATAATTTTATAGATAAAGCTTCGATTGATCTTGAAGAAGAAATTTGTGATGATTTCATAGAAGATTTGTTTGATCTTGATGATTTTAATGAGAAATCTAGCATGGGTTCTGAAGCAGCAGCATCACATGATGAAGCTTTCACATTCAATTGGTATTTGTTAGAAAACCTACAAGAAAAAACTGAATTTACTAAAGAATTGAATGAACTCTCTAAAAGCGATGATGAATTTTTTGAAAGTGATAATGAAATAGAAGAATTTGATGAATTTGAAATGCCAGTACCTCTCTTTTTTGATGACAATATCAATTTTATGTGTTGTGTTGTTATTGATAATAACAATAATCCAAGCATAATTCAAAGATGCAATAACATGGCCAATCTTAATGTAATTTAGTTAACTGGTACATGGGCTCATGCTATTCAAGAAGTTGATAATAATTCCTCAAAATTAAAAATTTGTTTTAGACATGTTAACTATGACCAAAAAGTTATACATAAAGGCTTAAAATCTATGCTAATATCTAAAGTTAGTATAATAAACCTACATCGCTATCTCTTCTGCAAAAAATATAAATATGTCTTTATGAGAGGTAAAACATGCTCATATCATACATAGCAAGTAAGTGAATGCACAATTCAGGCTCCATGTCATGGTCTATTCAACTGTCCTTTGATTTCTAAATATAATAAGTTCTAAATATAATAAGTTCTAAATATAATAAGTTGTCAAAGAAATTATATGAAGGTGATAGACCTAGATACATTTGTATAAACTGTTTTGTGTTTCATGGAGATCACTTACAGATTCAATTGAAAGCACCTCATCTTTTAGTTTCATGTTCAGAACGAGGACAACATAATGCTGATACCAAATTCACTTTAAAGTTTTTTAATAAGTAGATCAAACAGACTGCCAAATCTAAAAATAAAGCTGTAAAAAATAACTTGTTAAAAGAACTTATCAAAATTTTTGATAATATTACCACAAATCCTTATGAACAAGATGCTGATAATTTGTCTTCTACTTCTTCACTTCCAAGCCCTCTTCTAATAAAAACAGCATTTATAATTAGAAATATAAGAGTTAATGAAGAACAAGTACTACTGTTAACAGATACTAATTGCAAAGCTTTTGGAAAAGAACTTGCTTGCTCTGTATTACAAGAAAGATCTGAGCTCAAAAAAAGGTTATCATCACTTGAAGAGCCAGAATCTTTTGATGAATATAGAAGTGCTATGCCATTATCTCTTATTAATTTTTTTACTGGCTTAATTTTGGCAATAGAAAAGAAAAAAAATGCAAGTGTTAACCAGAAAATGAAGAGAAAGAAATATGCCTCTACCACAATTAAATGAAAAAAAATAGCCTCAATTTCTCTTTTTTTTGTTTCTATTATACTTACCAGTGCTTTTCGACATTGGAAAATATGGTTTATACATGCTTTTTCTTCTCTTTGTCAGTGGCCAAAAATAATAGAATCATTATACCAAATTCTTCACGTGGTGTAGGCAGTATTATATGCTAGAGATCATGAAACATGTGTCCAAAAAAAAAGAATATTAGATGCTAAATCTTCATTGAGACTTAATCAAAGTTCAAATGTTTTGAATATTGCAGCTATAGACAATATTGATATAAAAACCAAAAACTTCCAGTATGGCAATATTTTTGATATAGTTCGCAATACTGCACATGTAACAGTGCGAATAGTTTTTTAATTCCAATATTCAAAGCCCATCAACTTGAACAAACTGATTGAAAATCAAAATCTTTTTGGAGTGAGCCCGATTATAGAAAAGTGGCAAAAAGAAGTAGATATAATATTTAGCCAATTAGTTAGCCAAAATTCACAGTTTGAAACCACTGATATTAATGCAGCTATTAAAAAAAATATTAACTCAGCATTATTTGTAGCACCCCTGAATGTCATAATTCTTGAACCTGGCAAAGCACCAAGCAAAAATAAGCATGTTCATGAGGCTATCGATATGTATTCAGAAGATTTTGGTTATACAGAAAATAATATATTAAATTTAATATGTGATAAAGCAATTTATCATTGCATGAAGAATTACAAAAGTGAAGAGCAAACAGTACATTGCATTTTAGGCCAATGGCATACAAGCAAAGCGATGTGTAGTGCACTAATCTTTGCCTTTTCTGGTTATAGAGTTTTTGGCCTTGCTGCACAGCTTGGTGTTAAATTTTTTGATAAACTTGAAAAAGTTGTTAACTATCAGGCAACATTTCAAGTACTGGAACTTATATGGACAGTGGTGGGAGTTGCGATTCATAAATATATTAAAGAGAAAAAAATTTCTATTCATGATATTTCTAAAGAAAACAATAATATTTTAAAAGTGTAGTACAACTTTTACCAGTGGGTAGGGTATTTGAAATTGCATAAATATGGTATTTATATGGGTAATTTTGATTTACGAATGCCTAGTTTGATGGCATTGCACCTTTATTTCCTATTATGAAGAGATATAGAAATGCTAAGTCCATGGTGCAATTTATATCAGATCTACATAATAAGCTGCAACTTCCTAGAGATCTTTGTTTAGTGCCCTCAATTAATTTAATACAAGAAGGGCTATTGATGAGTCGCTAGAAACATATAGAGTAAAATTTTTAAAAGAAAATATAACTAGTCAGGCAACAAATTTGGAAAATTTAAAACTAAACATCAAAGCAGCACAGACTGAATATGATAGACTTAATTTGTTAATTTCAGAATTTACTGAAGACCACTCAATAAGCAAAAGTCCACGGTCCATTAAAGATTGCAAAGAATCTCTTTGAAAATTGATTGACAAACTCATAATTGCGTTTAGTAGTCAGCAGCCAGAATCTTGTGTCTTATTCGCAGAAATAACACAATTAACAGATAGTGGTTATCAACGGATATTCAACTATTATATTTCAGGAATCAAACAAATAGAGAATAATGTTAAACAAGATACTGCTACGCAAAAGAAAAAAAGAAAATTTAAACAGGTTTTAGTGCCTATGAAGGCAACAAAAGAAAAAGACATGCAGTAGCAGAATCTAGCAATACAACCAAGGAAGTAGTTAGTGAATCTGTACAAATAGAGCAAACTGACAATATGGAAGTCGAAGGGACAAATAACAATGCACTATCATCAGAAACCACAATTCAAGCACCATGCTTAAGAACATGTTTAACTCACAAGCCCTCAGCCAATGAAGAAAAAATTCTAAAACAACTTGAAAAATATAAAGATTCTACTGTGCTACTTGTGAATGTTCTTAATGATCTGGTTGAAAGTTTGTCAAACTACACTGAATATTGGACTTGGAAATGAATTAGGGATCAGTGGTATAATCAATATAAAAGAGCATAGCAGATAGAGTTTATTATTTTCTTACCCTATAATTAGATAAAATAGTATTTAATTTCGAGTGAATGTATAGAATTGAACTTATTTTAAAAAAATCTTTTGCAAGTAAAGTTAAAATGCAGACATATAAAATAAAGACATCTAATTAATGAGTGATCTACTTACTATAAAACAGTTTTCGTTGATTTTCTTCACTATGTTCATAATGAACCCGCTCTTCAAAGATGCATTTTGGCAAAAGCTCTCACTTGGGCGCATCTACTAATTCACTTTTTATGTTATAAATTTGAAAACCTGAATAGGATTTGACGAAAGTATGTAAAATAATTGCCTATCTTCAAGAAAGAAGTATTTCGTAAGGAGTGGTTCAATTTTTACGTTCTTTGCATTATTTGACTTGTAAAAACCTCAGCATCGATTTTGTTTTAAGAACTGGTGTGTACTTAGGCTCAGGTTTTCGAAAAAATTTTAAAAATGTAATTTTGTAAATTCGTGCTACTTATGAAAATCATATGATAAAAATTTAGATGCGACAAATCGGGTGCCTGTTAATGTGTATCTTACGTACGTTGTCACGGGGTAAATTGTGGCTTGTTTTATTTTTTTTGGCGTAGTAGATCGACGTGGGCCGGAAAAGATCTGTCAGATATGTCAGATATGTCAGATATATCAGATCTGTCAGATATGTTGGATCTGTTATATAGGTTATATCTGTTAGATATGTTATATTTGTTATGTATGTTAGATATAATAGATAGAATTAGCGAATGAGATAATAGCTGAAAAATGTATATAAAGGCTAAGAGTTCGCCTTGAATAAAGAAATCTCTAGTGATCAATAGTAATCGCTAGTTATTACTAGTTAATGCTCTACGCATATAACTCATAAAAGTTCGTTCTCCTACTTCCCTAATAATAAACTTATAATACCGTGATTCCTAATTAGAGCCTCGTGGCGCAGTCTAGAGCTCTATTTGGCCCTAATAACTCGGTCCAAGTCTTTCCACGCCCTCTTTCGTGCCTTCCACATTAGGGTTGGATAGAGTTTAGCTGTTGTAGTGTTGATTTAGATTAGTTTAGCTTTAGTTGATATCCGTGAGGCCCATATTTTGAGATTCCGGATTGATTTTGCCCCTCACAACATACTACATATCGTGTAACCTATCTTTTATTTATGTCGCAACACAACCTGGAATTAATTTCTCCTTATTTGATCTGAAATGGAAGTAAAATTCTTTAAAAAGCTTTCGAATAATTATCTTGAACTTCTTAATGACAAAGAAGATTTTAATATTATTATTAATACAGGAAAGTCTCCAAATACTAAAATATTTCAAGCTCATTCAAATATTTTAAGATTTAGGTCTTTGTATTTTCGTAACGAACTAGCAAAAATTTGCAAAGATAATAATAACATTAAAACAATTAATTTAATATATCTACTGAACAATTTGAAATTATTATTAAGTGAGTCATATAATATTTCTTATAATATTCTTTATATGTATGAGAACTTACAATTTATCAATTTGATGAAGATATATTTACGAAGGTGTGATTTTTCTAGAAAATCAAGGTGCAATATTTATTTTTGATCTAATGCTTGTTGCTCACGAGTTACTCTTTGAAGAGTTGGCTAAGGGTGTTCTCAAGAAGCATACTCAATTAATTAGATAATGATCGTAATGGTGCTCAACCGTTATGTAAAATTTAATCAGTTCCTTATTAAAAATCAATAGAGCGAATAATGTAATTGACGTATTCTCACGTACCATCCTCAATGTAATTGATTTGTGATTGTGTTTATGTTCAAGCATTGCAGTAATTGAAATATTGTTTGCGATTGATGGTTGAGCAAATACCTTTATTATTGCTATCTTCTAATCGCTTATTGTTACTATTAAAAAAATTGTTTATATAAAACTGTAATAAAAAAAAAAAAAAAAAACAATGAATCAACAGAAAGATCAAAAACCTGTACCATTAATTCCAGTTTCTTTTCCACCTTTTTCCAACTTCACCAATCTCCTTATGTTTTTACAAGAAAACTATCTGACTCAACTTTTTCTGAATCTTTTAGCAGCAAATAACTCAAATGTTGATGAAAAAGTAATAAATGCAAATAATCTTGAATTTTATATATAGCTTATATTAATATTAATTGGTAATCCACGAGTCAACCAGAGAATGATCATAGTGAAACGTGACGCGGATCACTTATAGAAATTGGGCTTTGTGAATGTTGCCTACGCGAATCTAAAACTTTTTTTAATACTAAGTTAACCACTCTTCTAACTTAAGAGACTTTTGTAGAGCTTGTTGAGTCGTATCTAATGGTGGTTAAATCATTTAAATCGGCCTGGTGGATGTTAGGATATCTTTAAAAAACCTTTCTTTAACTATGTAAATTTCTTTAAAACAATATTATTTTTTACAAAGAAATTTACATAGTTAAAGAAAGGTTTTTTAAAGATATCTTGACATCCACGAAGCCGATTTAGATGATTTAACCACCATTAGATATGTCTTTACAAGCTCTACAAAAGTTTCTTAAATTAGAAGAGTGGTTAACTTAGTATAAAAAAGGTTTTAGATTTGCACAGGCCATATTCACAAAGCCCCAATTTCTATAAGTAGAAGAGTATTGTCAGAGTAAGTGTACTAGTAAGAGGGAGTATTCAGACAGTTGCAGAAAAAGCAGTTAGAAGATGTAAATATGAGAGGATAAATAGAGTAAAAGTATGCATGCATTGACAGGATGTTAAGAAGCATTTTGATTTTGAAAGATTTTAAATAATTAAGTTTGGGATTAGTAAAATTTTAAGAAATTTTTTAGTTGTTGTTAATGTATAGCCAAGAGGTTTTCTAGTTGATTAAATAAGAGATGTATAACCATTCTTGAGTATAGTTTTGTGAGGACTATAGGGTAGTAGTATGTGCTTTGCAGATTGTTTTAATAAATTGTCAAGTAGGGTTTTTAATAAAATATTTATTTTACAATAAAATAAAGTATAGATTATAAAGATTAGTGCAGTTAAATTGCAAAGTTGGAGATAAGGAGTGGTTGTTTGCAAGCATGTCTGTAAGATTGTTAAATAAATTGTCAAAGTGTGCTTGGACTTTATAGAAAGAAAGTTGTATGTCAAAAGCTGTTAAGATATTAAGAAATGTGTGCCAGATAGACCAGGAATTGAATTTAAAATATTTAGAGAAATGTAATAATAGAGATAAGAGTTTGTTATATTTAGAGATAATAGACTGTGAGTTTATAAATATTTCAATATTGGAGTTGTGGAGGAGTATTAAAATAGCTAACAAAATTGTTAGTAGTTCAGCTTTATAAGAAGAGAGCCAGTTGAATATTTGTGCAGAAAGTTGTGTATAAGTAAAAATTTATTTATTTATTATTATTATTATTATTTTTTATTAAACATAATGTCATAGTAGAAACTTTATTACAATAAATCTAAATTAATCCAAAGATTAATAGTCTTCTTGTTATCAGAAAGACTTGGGTAAAGGGACAAATAAGTCATTTGACCAGGCTGCCAAATTTCTTCAACTTAGAACTAGCTAATAACCAGAAGGTATAATTTTAGAAAAATTTTTATATAAAGATTTCTAACTACACTTGTGCTGCAGAGCATCCAATATGATATTACACTCTCTATTCTCTATTTAATAGTATTATTAATTTAAGTGAATAAAGTAATTCTAGTTAGAAAAGATTAGAGAAGACCTTAAGATATTAATTATAACATTATAAGAAAATGTTGTTAGAGAAAAACTTGTAGATATTATTTTTCAATAGCATCATGTGGGTCTATTAATTGTAAGTGAGATCTATATACATTTGTTTAGTTAGCAAGTAAGGAAGTTAAAAATTTGCTATATTTAGTTTTAGATATAATATTTTGGGCTATTTTCTACTGATGTTGAAAGAAGTTATATTTGAGCCATATTTTATAGAAGAACTAGTGTAAAAGATTATTAGAAAGCTTGATAAGCATGTGCTGTGTTTGTTTTTTTGTTAGAGTTTTGATATTTTGATATGTTAATCTTGAATATATACCAAGAATAGTAGAAATAAAAGAGTTATATTGTATATTAGGGGAGTTGGTTATTGGTAGTAAAAGCATATTAAGAAGTAAAGTAAATTGAATAGATATAAGTTAGAGTTGTTGAAGTATATTAGTAGTTATATTAATAAGTAATTGTTGGATATTTTCAGTATTTTTAGAATACAAGAGTATATAAAGAGAGTTTTAGACTAAGTGATATTTACAACATTTATTTGTTGTATATAGATTTGGAAGCAGATATTAAGATTTTGCATTGTTAGAAGGTTGTTTGTAAGGATTTTTATATAGAAGAAGTATTTGTAAAAGTTATTTTTTAAGGAGTTAAATATTTTGAATATCAAATTTCAGTTTATATCTAATATATATTTGTTAAAAAGTTTAAAAGATGGCCAGGATATAAGTTTCTAAATTGTAATAATGTTTTTGATAAAGAAGCATACTTTGAGTGTAATAATATAATTGTTCTAAAAGAAGTGAATAGAGAAATTAAAGTATGTATAGGAGTTTGTTAGAAGAGATTTGATGAAGCCTTGTTTGGCTAGCAGATCAGCTTGATTATGAAGGAAGTTGGTTGAATATAATTTATTATGGTTTGCAAATTGATATACTTTTTGATCAAATTTGTAGATCACTGCATATCTATACAATCACCTGATTATAGTCTGATTGCATGATTATACAAGATTGTAAAAATTATAAAGTGCATTCTTTAGCCAAAGATTCAATATAAATATGCTATTCTTATTAATCAGATCTATGCTCACTAAAAAATCATTGCAAAATTGTGCAACCAGACAACATTCAGATGATTGTTCAAGTGATTGTAGTCATTATATGGGTATGTAGCGATCTTCAAATTTGATCAAAAAGTATATCAATTTG